CACGTTCGATATAATCAGCCATTATATCTGAATATTGTATTAAAATGAACAGAAAATTATGATAAACAATAATTATTTATACTAAATTGTAATTTATTCATATATCGATGATGTTGTCCCCAAAATTGTGTTGGTATACGTATAAAGGAAACAAATATTAGTAAACGAAATAATAAAATAGCTATTGACGTAAATAATATCAGTAAAAATGTGAAATAGAAAGAATTGTTTTTAGGGTGGCCATTTTTCTGATCACCAAAAAAGATACTTTTGATCACCAAACAATTTAAGAAATAAATCATGACCAAAAAAGGATAGTTTTGATCACCACACAGTTTTCGATGCAAATGATCACCCAAAAAATATACTTTTAATCACCAGATTTATCAACATTCATCCAACATATTTATTTCTTCAAAAAAGTACAGCATCAAAAAAAAAAATAATTGAAATAACAAATACACAAAGAATAATTGAACATCTTTATTAAATATCTACTGACTGTAAGCTGTGTTAAATTTTTTGGGACATCCTTTTCTTTTTCGTTTACCTAATTGTTCAACACGTGTCTTATCGTTCACTTGGTATAAATTGAATAGAATTCCTAAACCCGATCAAATGAATGAACTACACTTAACAGAGACCAGTTTAATGTTGACATTTTTCAGAATGAATACTTTAAAGGGTTTTGTATAAATATATGCACCGCCTACTGACTCGACGATACAAATCACTGTTTATATTACATAAAGAGAAGGGAAAAGCTGATGAAATGTAAGTGATACTGAATAAATAAGGAAAAGATGATGTAACATCACGTTTTGAAAAATTTGGTGATCAAAAGTATTTTTTTTGGGTGATCATTGGTATCTAAAAATGTGTGGTGATCAAAAATCCTTTTCCCCCATATTTTGTGGAACTCACATATATTTTCGAAGAAAATAGTGAGTGTAAGTTTTAAGTTCAAGTTTTCGCGGCTCCCCCCCCCCCCCCTCCCTTCCCGACCCCCCACCACCCCCACCCCCCCTCTCACAGCATAGCTAC